GAAAGAAGGGGAGGGGTGCAGGCAGCTGCAGCTGGCAAGTTGGCCATCCAGTGGGCTGAAAAGCCAGGATCAGACCCCACGGTGCTGGGATCCCTTCAGTGCAGAGGAAGGTCGGAGCTGCATGCAGAGGCGCTAGGGCTGCAGTGCAGCCTCCCAGGAGCCAGCGCCAGCAGTGGGTGGCCCAGCTGGGTGATCAGAGAGGGAAACCGCCCACACCAGAGACAGCGGCGGGAGGGAGCCTGCAGCTTGGGCTCCCTGACGCAGGAGAAGCACTAGCTCTGGGAAAAGGGGGGGAAGCAGCTGTGTGAAACTCACCACCTGCAGCAGCCCTGGGTCCCCACCAAGACTTTGGAACCCCCAGCTCTCATCCTCTCTCTCACTGCTGCCAAGCTCAACAAAATCAAAGACACAGCGCCCAGCTGGGAAAAAGCAGGCTGGCCAAGGAGGCGCCTGCCCGTGAACACAGCAGGATGGGCCTAGCCACAGCAGAGCCCAGCACTCCGCACACAGAAGCTGAGCCCCTGAGCCCCTGGAGGACACGGGTTTCAGGAGGCCGTCAGGGAGCTCAGGGGAGCCCTGGAAGGGCGGCTAAACAGAAAGGCAGGCGCAGGCTTTCAGAAGAGAGACACAGGGCCAGGCGGATTCTTCACGAGAGTGAGTGAAGATATAAAAGCGACACAAAAGGGCACGGAATGAGAATAAGCGTGGGAAGCACATCAGGCAGAGCTCAGCTGGGAGAAGTCTCAGAAATTCCAGTTGCAACAGCACAGAGGACTCAAGTGGTAAAAGATAAGATTTCATGAGAAATGCAGACCGTATGAGAAAAATACATGCAAAACCATGTAACTAACGGCAGTGGACAGCGGAGGTCAGGGGCGCAGGAGACATAGACTGAGGACACCTCAGGATGACGTATATCCCAGCAGTGGGGACAAACAGCCCGGAGAACCACTCAAAAAATACTAGCTCAGCAGCTCCCAAACCTAAGGAAAACGCATCTCGCGTCACCTGACGTCTTGTAAAATTCTCCTCCGTCTGTAACTGCCTTTCTTTCCCTGTTCCTACGGTGTCTCTTCTTACCTACGTTGTAACCTACGTTGGAGGCTTAGTCTGCTTGACAAGATCTAGTCTTACCCTTTCCATTTCAGAAATTTAAGATTTCAATTTCTTTGCTTTCTTTCTATTGTTTTTTGTT